ATTTATTAGCAGACCCCAGCTCAATGAAAAACATTGGCATCTGATTTCCTCATTGACGCAGTCAGCAACGTAGCCTTTAATTAAAGCTGATTCTCTCATAAGGATTGTTTCCTTTTTCTTCGCTGACTGTATTTGACTGCACCTTTTGTTTTTACTGTTGACTCATTGAGTCGTCTCCCGATGTTCATAGTGGATATCGCACTGCTCTGTCTATAGTCTGGTTGTCACGCTGATGATAGAACTCTGTGTCAAGGTTCTAAAAACTGCGTGGTTCGTCGGATCAGCAATGTCTTTCAGAAGTGAGCACCAGTATATTATTTCCTAGTCTTTTAGTGTGCATATTATTTCATAGAAATATTGTCTTCTGCTGAGACTAACGACGATGTTATGAAAGAATTTAATATGACCATGTTTCCTTGAAAATGAAAAGGTACGGCGCACCCTCGATTGCCCTTTCAGGATGCATAGTGGAGGCATACTGTTAGTATCGATTACCAGTGTAGCGTAAAACTGCATTGGTCTGATTGGTGACGGGGCTTTTCATCGGCGTCCTGGAGATTTGTTGCCACGTGGGGGGCAGGGGGGCAGAACAACGCATTAGTCTTCAAATGATTCGCTTAATTGGGGAAGCCACCTTCGTTGACGAACATTGTTCAATCCGCAAACGATAATGTGACCCTTCTATACTTTTCACAGTTTGAAGAGAGAACCAGTCTACTGTCCGATTAATAGAATCTTGGGAATTCACGGCCATCATTAACAGGATCATTTCTGGACCACAGGACCAGGCATCTGCCGTTTCCATTTCCACCACTACAGTGCTTAGATAACGGCTAGAAGTCGTGACCCCCTTATTTTCAGGAGTATTCTGATCAGCCTGACATCAATCACAGCATTGCATTGTACTTCTGTTCTTGATACACGGATATTTCGCTTTAGACTGTAAAACCTATATATTAATATTTTTTGTTTTAGGTAGACTGTTATGACCTGTTCTCCGAATCAATGGATATGACAGAATGCAAATTAAAAGAAGCTTTTGACAATGGTATTAAATGTCTAAATAAAGCTGACCGCCTAATGCGCTTTCCAGCGCTTTGTATAAACACAATTTAGTGCTATGGGTGTTTCCAAAATTCCCTTAAGTGTTGAGAAGCAAGAACAGCAGCATATCAAATCATAATGGCGTTTAAAGTTGAATATGACAATGGTAGGGTAACACAGTAAGATGTCCTTATAGTATCGAAATTTGGCCCTGGTCAGGAAAGCATGAACAAAAGATATGCACAATACTAATCACCATGATTTTTTGCCTTGTGCTTCGCTCCTTTTCTGCTTTCTTCTTCTGCCCCCTCCATAAATAGCAGGAGAATGCCATAAATGTATAAATGTAGATGACGTTGTCTACCGCATTGCCAAAATGCTGATGTTTTTGTTGGAATAAAGGTTGTTATTAGCTCTTAATTTTTTCAAATATCATTCATAAAATACCGGATACTCGGGTCTTCGTACCCATGAGTGGTTGTTTCACTTTTCAGAAAGTGGGCGATACCATAAATAGTAGACATTATGCCTTTTTGGGATCAATATGGAAAATAGTCCTCAGCGCTTTCGGCTGAGTCCATATTCAGAGAGTGCTTCTGTTAGATAGAATTGCCTTGACGTGCACAGAGAGCTTTGTCAATCTCGGATGCTATTCTCCTTCTAAATGATGAGATATGACAAACCTTCGTGATTACGGTAGCAGTGGAAGAGCATATTCTTCACTGTGCCACATCTAATCATGTAGTTGTGTTTGCTTTCTTTCTGCGATAATGGCACAGACGGCTTCTTGCTTACTCATCAACTTATTTTGGCCTTCCTTACAACTTGTGTCTCATACGATGCAGAGAACCAAGCACATTTTTGGACCCACTTATTTTAGGCCAGTTATGAAGCATGTACGTCACATGCAGGCCCTTCATCATTCCACTTGATGAACAAAATATATGGCTCTTTCGGTTTTGGTACTAGGGAAATTTTTTGACCGGCTGTTTATCCTCATATCCGTCATT